TCCCCTGGATTACATTCATTTACAAAGTTGCCCATTTTCCTGCAAAAAATCATCCCCGGTTCTTCCATTATCACCAGTCACTGGACTATGATATGCAACTTGACCACCCTATGGATTCTTACTTTCTTCCCCCCCCCAACAATCTAGATGACAGTGATTCATACTTTGCAGAAACCCCTCAATTTGCTGCTGCTGCTGCTGCTATCATGATGCCACCAAGAATATTTTGCCATTAGATAAGCAGAAGTGATGAGGTGGGCTTTTGGAGGGTTTAGGAGTAAATGTGAAGTTTGTCTGTTGTGCTTCTTGGGATCTTTCTGAAGGCCTTAGATTTTTTTACAATATTTTAGCTCTTCATCCTATAATACCAGAGTCTTTCTATCTGCTTTGTCCCCCCAGGACCTTATTCTGGCATAAAAGCTCACTTGTTTTGCCCACTTTTTCTGTGATATGAAGGCAACTCTTCCCAGTCATTCCCAGAGGCCTCGTCACCACAGAATCCCTCTTTAATGCATTTCAGTAGAAAGAATTATGCTAATGTATTATTTATTCAGAGCCTGTAATTAGCTAACAAGTGGGCAGTATATTTCAGAAATATGTTTTTATAGATAGATTTTATCTCTCAACCCTATAAGTAATATTTTTATGTTGCAATATTATGCATATTTTATGGGTTGCCATGCTCCATGCTTTAAATGCTGTTAGCTTTTCTGAATAAAAATAGGTTATAAATAGAAATAGATGAAGTTAACAGAACCAATCATATAGCTGACTTGCAGATATCCCAAGAAATGTTTTCCTTCCACAGCCTAAGTCCAGGAAATGCATTAATTCATGCATATAAATAGTATCATCATTACAACTCTGAAATTGCTTTTTCATTTTGGGGACAGCCTTCCAGATTAAGAGCTCTCAGGATCCCTTACAGTGTTTTCTGGTCTATGGAAAACAGCCAGATACCTTCTCCTTCTGTCCGTGGGGGCTGATAGCTCATTACTGCATTTTATATGGGATCTGTTTTCTGCCATGTGGATTGGCACTAATGCCAACTAGACAGAGAGCAAAGCTGTAGGGTTCTGGGATAACATCCATGAATGATCCTCTAGGATCGTCTATAGATCTATAGATTCTATAGACCGTCGCCATAAAGCTTTGTATGTAAGAGCACGTCCACTGTACTGAGTTGGTGGCTGAGAGTGAGTTCCCAGCACCAGGGCCAAGTACTGAGTGTATCTTTCTATATAACTGTTGAGGGTTTTGCACTTGATCTGCCAGTAATTTGCAAACCTTCTGTAACTGTTCTTTGTGAGTTTAGCTTTCACTGGATTAAAATCAGATGATATTCTCTCCTTGCTAAAAATGTAAGAAGAGAATTATGCTGGATTTGCTTTTAAGTGTCACCTTCTCAAGGTCCTTTTAAAAGGACCATCTGCCAAATCTTCAACCACTAGTCTCTGCAATGTGAATTTAATAAGGGCTGCATGATGAGTTTGGAGTGGGAATGTTTTTTGAGGAGCCTATAGTACAGGCTAGTATAGACTAGTAGCTCACCAACGTGTGTTTCTTCTCCCTCTGGGTTACAGAGGATATTGAGGCCAGATAACATATCTCCCTGCAGTCTTCAACACTGATGGTTCTTTTGCTTTATCTTGCTTTTGGATTTAGAGATATAATGGCATTTATCATTTCTGATGGGGCATACTATTAGAGGCTTCTTCTCTACCTCATGATCTTTGGTCTGTGGATATCCCAAAGTTTTATTTTGTACTCCACTATAAGCTAATGACGCCTCTTGGGGAAACCATCTGGAGATTTGGTTAGAAGGATCATTGATGTTCTACTTATTGATCACAGGGAGACTATGAGATAGACCTGGAGCAGATGAGGACAATGAAGCTGAAATGTGGCCCAGGCAAGATAGAGATACTTCAAGGAGGACGGAGAATTGTTGTTCTGGACAGACAGTTGAATTGTACATCCTTTGAAAAGGCTTGTTTGGAAGTCATTCTAGACTCAGTGTTTTCTTTGGAACCAGTGGCTTTCATGGGAGTGGCTATGAGTAACTTAGGCTAATATACTGCTTACAATCCAATAGGAAAAGATGCAACTTGCCTTCGTTATTTGTGCCCTGCTTATATCCACAGTAAACTGTTGCAAAGGACTCTTCATGTGTTTGTCTTTGAAGATGACTTGGAAGCTTTGTTCTAAATTATTTCCCTCCCACAGTGAGCAATAGAAAAGGCTTCTTTTTAAGGCAGGAAAAGTAATACACACTGCTGCTTTCCACATATCAGCCCTGCTGCTGGTGTGTTGCCAGTGAGGTATTGGTTGGAGTGGTCTGGCAGGAGATAATACCATGAAATACCTTATGAATATTTCTGTAGAATGAATTGTGAGCTTTAGTTGACCTAGCCATTTTGAGAACAATTAATTCACTGATTATCACTGATCTCATGCCAAAAACAATTATGATTATTTTTGTCTTCTCTCTAGAGTCAAATTGGAATTCGACCTTCAAAATCAACTGTTAGGAGAAGGGTAAAGTATTCAATTTTTAAGTGCATTTTTCTTTCAAGTCACCACAACCGTTTCAGTGGATTCTTTTCAAGTATGCTTGGCTTTGTGGTCTTAGGAGAAAACCGAATTAGGTTATTTGTGCATAGATCTCCTCTATCCTGAGTAAATAAACTTGGGAATAAGCCTCCCTGCTTCCAATTTAACAACAATAATTGGTTAAGCAGTGAATATGCATATTCAGAGTCTGACCTTTAAGTACAATCCTTTGGATGCTTTTTGGAGAGTAGGCCTAGGCAATATTATTAGTTGTACATTTTTATGGCAGTGCAGTTCTATTTAACCAGATATCCAGCAGGGTCAAAAAAGTCAAGATGCCAATTGCAGCAGTGGGATCAAAGCCCCGCCCTGTCCCTTTGTATGGGCAGACATTACTACTGATGTCTGTTTTCTCCATGTCACTTCTCACCCATTTTCTAAAATTTTCATTTAACCCAATATGCAAAAATGTTTTGTTAGATTACTAAATGAACACAGTCTTTGTTCAATTATCCTTCTGTGGCACTAGAACAAAACATAAACTCTTCCATTGTCACCTGCGGATTTCAGTTTATATAAGCAAAATTTATAGACCCACTTTTTCCCCCCAAAGTATTTTCCTCTGTTATAACTGTTGGGCAAATTGTTGCCTACTTATGACAATTCACTATGATTTGCAGTTACCAACGAACAGCAAATGCTGTTTAAATATATGAGCGTCCTTGTGTACTGCAGAAGTGCGGAGGTAACAATATTCTGCAAGTGCAGCTTCCATAAATATTTACTGTAGAGGTTGCAGAAGACACTGTGCAAAAGAGGTTAGGAGGTTGCTGGCAAAGATGGTTTCCAGCAGTTTCTCTAAAAGCAACAAGTGAACTTGGTACAAGGGTAGATAGATTTCTGGAGGCATGCTAGAGATTCAGTCTTGGCTATGGACTAGTAGACAATCTGTTTAAACAATTTTGAGGGTAAAGTGGCTGCTAGGCATCCCTCCATAATTTTTGAATTTGCCTCTGTTGGAGAGCCCTTCTTCCCACCCACTAATCCAAACTGCTAGATAACTTTTCTTATCCCTGGATGTTCATTTGCTAAATATTGTTTGACATTTTAATTTTGAGTTTAGGTAACTGGAGGAGAAATACAGTGACTTCATAAAAAACAGTATTGGCTCTGCAGACTATCTCAGATGTTTGCAAAGAATGCATCCCTTAGAAAGGTTGTTCTCTGGCTTGAAATTGAATACACCCCCTTGCTGAGATTGCTGAGGTCTTCTGTGTGGAAGGACAGGTAGACTTGGGGCAGAAGCTCCGCGCACTTTGAGTTTCCGTTTGGAATGGTCCAAACTGCTGGCCCTGGATTCCTCATCAGTTAATGCTGAGATTCCCTCATCTGTGTTATTTAATAAGTGTATAAGGCCACCCACCTCATATACATGACTCTGAGCAGCCAACCGTTAAAAACAGAATAAAAACATGGTAAAAAATGACCAAGTTTTAAAACAACAGAAATAACAGCAGCCAAGAACACCCAATTAACACAACCAAGATGAAGAAATGGGCTCACCCATACTATCAGGGCCTCTGGCTGAGTGGCAGTGGCAGGTTTTCAATGCCTTGTGAAATGCCAGCAGGGTGGGAGCACGTCTGGGGGAATGATGTTCCAAAGGGCGGGCACCCTGCAGATCTATTGGAGATTTGGTTGCATTTTCCAGGCCTTTGTAACACATTCTGGATTGTTTCTTGGTGCAGTTGTAAGAGTCAAAGGTCCTACCCCTTCTTTCCCACATTTCCCAGAAACTTCCATTTTGGGGAAGCAATATTTAATTTCTAACCAACTGCTCAACTGATAGTTTATGTACCAGCATCGCTGTTTGTCGAGGAGCAAAGCTACTCCACTATGATCTTCCTCTGCTCAGAGAGAGCTTTCTGACTGAGCTATTCTGTATCTAGAAAAAAAGAGAGAGGAGATATGAAATAGGTGAAGATACACCTGAAAGCATCTTGGGCTGCAGCTTGAAGATGTAGGAAGATAGATACTGCACTAAACGGGAGAAAGCAAAGTTTGCATAGTGATTTTGCAGGTACTGAACAGTCCGTAAGAGAACAAAGGAGGAGATGTTGGAATGCAAACGCACTGGATGATAGACTGCAGGACACATGGGAGAAGGCTGCAGTGCATCTGCGCAGGGACCTCATCTAAGAAGGCTGCTTTCAAATGGAGTGCTAAATCTTACAAAGTGGGTTATCTTGGCCAAGCTTTTTGACACTTGAGGTCTTCTCTATAAAATCTGATCTACTTTGATCTGCTCTTCAAAACTCTCATGTGCCTTCTAAAAATACAGTTCTTGTTTCTGCCTAGCACATGAACATCAGAACCAATACTTTACATGTGCTCATTAAGCTCTAGAATTCAGTTCTGAGCATCGTCATGTCAATTTGAACATATTGTACAAGTCTTTTCCCCTGAAATCCCTGAAGATTCACTGCTTGCTTTGTGTGAATGCTGGACAATGAGTGGGGCAGTCCTTTGATTAATATTCCATTCATCCCTGCTGAGGGCTGCATGCAGAGAAAGATCTAATTACTGTGGATGCTATGTCCATATGGGGGGCAGTTTTAAGCAAAGCTGCTGGGAGGACCAGATTGAAAAGGAAAATAGGTGCATTTGAAATTCGATTCAGGATAGCCTTCTTGAACAAAAGGGGAAAATTGCCTCAGGCCCCTGAGCTTGTTTTAATCAATGCCTCTTATCATTATGAACAGAAATTTAAATTTGTTGGTGGCTCTTGCTATCGATAGAATAGAGAGCTTCCAGGAATTCCCAGAGGGTTCGTGTTAGGCCCCTAAGATTCAGCATTCAGCAGCTGGAGTGATGACAAACATCTGGAACAGAAAATATAATTTAGGCTACTTTCTTGCAATCCTGATTGTGTCCAATCTAGATCGGCATTGAATGGCTATCTGTGATCACTCGGTCCTGGGGGAAAGAATCATTCCTTTTCTAGCTTGAATGTTATATACTTTTTGCTTCTGACAAGCGTCCCCAGGCTTGAATCAGGCACCTGGTTGGATACCTAGGTGAAAAGATCTGAAATGGAAGATCTACAGTGAAGCACGAAGTGTGTAGGCCAGTGACATGCAGATGAGGGTACAGAAGGTAGCTAATCCTCCCTGAGTATTGTCCAGTTACCACCATCAAGAAGAAAAAAATATTTTTTATTAAGGAAGAGGCTTCCCTTGGCAAGTTAACATCACAGAAGTAGCATGATGGTAACATTCTAATTTCCAGAATAATATTTTGTCATGAAAACATGTCTCAGTGAAGATAAGCTACAACTGTAGCGAGAAATTGCAGCATGCAAAGCTGGAGCAAATGGATAAGAATTGCCAGTGTGTCTGGGAAATGCTGAGCATGCCTGAAACATGGATGAGAAACAATGGTGAACCATATGGGGTCCCAGCCCCACAGGCACTTGCAGGGATGGGGTAGGGGGCAAATGATATTATGTACATCATAACATCATATTGTGCCATCATAATTATGCAACAGTGTCATGATTCACGGGCCGTAATTTTCATGTCATCTTGGCCAGCTCTCAAGTGCCCTTTCGTGCACCATTCTTATGAAAGCTTATTCTGTCTGTTGGAAGAGAAGAGGTGCATATTTTCCTTGATTGCCCTTCTAGCTAACTAGGCAAGGATATGATAAACCTCTTTTTCTGTCAGATGATTCCATCTTCTCTCTTTAAAGATGTTTAAATACAATCTTGATAAGTGACATTTTGGAATATATTGTGTAGCCTTTGAGGAGTCACTGAATTATGATTAATTTAGGACTTGAAGAGAATACAATCAGAGGAACTCAAAATGTCATTCTTCAAATCATGATGATTAAATGAAATGAAAATAGGATAGAAATAAATTATCCAAGGGGAGGGCTGTGGCTTAGATAGTTTGACTTGCTGTTTTCCAGGATTCAGTCAGTGATGCTCCCTCCCAAACCATTGGCCTTCTCTCAGAAATGCTTCCGGCCACATCTTTTGTGCTGTTTTCTTTAACATTTCAAATAATGGTAGTACAAGATGAGTAGCCAGTATGGTGTTGTGGTAAGGCACCAGGCTAGAACCCGGGAGACCGTGAGTTCTCGTCCTGCCTTAGGCATGAAGCCAGCTGGGGGACCTTGGGCCGGTCACTCCCTCTCAGCCCTAGGAAGGAGGCAATGGCAAACTGCTTCCGAAATCTTGCCAAGAAAACTGCAGGGACCGGTCAGCTGGAGTCAACACTGACTCGAAGGCACAAAATAAAACAGAAGACAACTAAAAAGAGGGTAGTCTATTTTACATCATGCAATATTGTCTTAATTGTGAATGTTAATCAATGATTGTGTATGAACGTTTATGCTACACTGCCACAATAGCATGCCTTATTACTTTTGCCACCACAAACATGGCTTTCCCGTAGAAAGAATTCTAATTAATTTATGAAATTCAGATTAGATATTGAAATGCCTCCTCAAAAAGAAAAGAAAACCAGAATGTAGTGGAGACAAAGAACTTGAATGATAAAGAGGCTCATGAGTTCCAAATCTGGCTAAAATGGAGGGCAGTTGCAATGGTCTTCTTTCTGAAGCAGGTTCCTATGGCAAAAGTACAGAGATCCCAAACTATTTCAGTTTATTTAGCCTCGTTCTAGGTAGTCAATCCAGAAGCACACTGGAATGGTTGGATTTCCTGATGCATTGGCAGTCCTCCCTGTCTAGTCCTAATTGCCCGTGTGGTTCTTGTTCTAGGATGAAGAAGGTGGAGCTGAAGTGGGTGAGGGTGCCGACGAATGGTCACAGACCAAGACGTTAATCAAGCCCCCAGACCAGCTGGAGCTGACTGATGCAGTAAGTCAATTCAGACTGGAGGCTGAAATCTAACACAACAAATATGGGATAGTACAACAAATTTGCCAAACTAAGTGTGGGCAGGAGAAGCACCGGTTCATCTCCACCTTCAGCCATAGGCTGAATTCAAGCAAGTTAAGATTTGTAATGTGCTTTGAGTTGCTGGGATCAAGGATAGACAGGGGTGTCCACAAGATGTGGTCAAAAAAGTCAAGGCAGCAGCTGGGATGGTGTGATTGAAACTTTGCCTCTTTTTTTATGGGTGTTGTACATGTGACACACCTAAACCACAGGTGGAGCTTCGATTACATAATTGCAACTGCCAACTTGACTTTTTTGACCACACCCTGTGGACATCCCTGAGGACAGAAGAAGAGTAAATGGATAGGGGTGCCAAACCCGCCAATTTCCAGGCATTACTGAACTGCAGTTCATATATTTGTGAACAAGAAAGAAGCAAAGAACAATGTGGACTTACAGTTCAGATTTTCAGCAAATACAAAAACGCAGGGCAACTATTTTTAACATTTAAAATACATCATTTTGAAAAATCTGTAATTCATGCAAAAGCTCAGTATAAAAAATATCTTACGCATTTCTTATATGTGTCTATCTTATGCATCGTCCTGTTTATCTCATTGTGGGAATTCTGTTTGAAATAGTTGTCTTCCGCTGCAGGAACTGAAAGAGGAAATAACCCGCATCCTGACAGCCAATAACCCTCATGCTCCACAGAATATTGTCAGATACAGTTTTAAAGTAAGTATTTTCCCCTCTGCTGACCCTCTTTCTGCAACGTGGACTATTGATTCTCTAATGTAGGACAGGCATGAACCAATCAATTTAAAATCTGAATATGTAGAGACTGCCTTTTCTATGCATGCTGACTATAGAACACACTAGCGGTGTCTACAGAATCTAGTAAAAAAAAAGTCAAGATGGCAGCCACGGTGGTGTGATTAATGCCTGTTTTTTATATGCAATTTTTTGTAGACACCTCTGGAACACACTCTCCAAGAACAATCCTTTGCCACCTATTTGTATAATTTTAGGTCCCAGGTTTTTAGGTCCCAAGTTAGTTTTAAGAATCTGTAGATGTTAGCATTGTTTTTGAGATTATTTTTCCTCGTGCTGTTTATTGTTGTACCCCATAGTTTACGTTTTATCAGTGGCATTCAGCTCTTTTTTTCAGCTTCATTTTTTTCTTAAGAAACCATTGTGACTGGATATAGGACCTCAAGAAAAAGTTTAGTAAATGTGCAAGCATTTAAATAATTATAATAATATGCTAGGGGTGGGAGTGGGGGGAAGAGTTGGATCAAGGTGATTAATCAGAAACAGACACTACAAGAAAGCAAAACAGCAGACAGACCCTTCCCCTGAGTGGCGATTCTGAGCCCCTTCCCCTCAAATAATTCTTCAGCACCTCTTAAGCAGCATTACAGTGGGGCAAAAAAGTATTTAGTCAGCCACCAATTGTGCAAGTTCTCCCACTTAAAAAGATGAGAGAGGCCTGTAATTTTCATCATAGGTATACCTCAACTATGAGAGACAAAATGGGGGGGAAAAT